GGGCCGAACAAAGTCGTGTTCAGGCACCTGCCGATATGCCACTGTCCATAGGCATATTCATTATCTTCATCTTCCATTGACGCTTCTCCTTTCGGGTCGCGGAGGCAGACGCGTCAGACAGTGCTTCCAGTGTTCCTGATCCTGTGCCAGAGTCTGAGCTTCGGCAAAAGACAAATGCAGTCTGGAACAGACTCCTTTTATATATTTGTACCAGGTTAATCTTAGCCGTCCCCTGGATCTTCTGACTGTCGGTTTAGCTAGAAACAGCTGCTTCGCCTTCCTTTCCGGAGGCATACGCAACACATGCCCAAGCTATCGCAGCTCTGACTTCTCAATCCGGAGAAACAAAGGCTGTTTACCAAGGATCTCCCGGATGTCAGTATTCCCTACCATGTCAAGACGCGTTAAGACCAGCGACTCGTCCAAGAAAGCTCATTTCAGCAACTTGTTCCCGGGTTCGAAGTTTTTCAGTCATCGTCCACGACTCGCGACCGTAGGTAAACATGGGGATCAAGAGCTTAGTTTTCAGACTCAACTCTGCTTTAGTCACAACGGAACGGGCTAGTTCACGCAGAACGCCACTGGCTACTCCAATCTACCGGTCGATCTCTTCCTCAAACTGTCCATCACTAGTGAACAAGATTCCGTGATCCTTGAACCTTTCCACCTGCTCAACTGCCTCTCTGTTAATCTGAAGAGAGCAACGGGCAGAAGAACGAAAAAGCACTTAGCTAAGAGTGTATGAATTATATTTAACTATGCTGTATGATGTATTTTAACCTTGAAAAAGCTTTAATATTCTTCGATTTTGCATCACTGTTGTCAATGAGGACTTCGCAACATTGCGTAATTCCTTGTTGGCCATAAACCCTGTGATTATTCTTATCCAACTGACGGTAGTTCAGCAGGCAGAGCAGGGGTTCAGATTTCTGTCGGGTAACTAGCTCATCATATCAGAGTAGATAAACGAGCACATGCTGTGGTCACTTTTACCTTGATGATAAGAAAATTAAGCGTGCTTCAAATCGTCAATCCATATTAAAAATATTTATATGTATAGTTTCTCTGATGGAAATCGAAAGTTCCAATCCAGGATACTACTTTTAGTCAATTTTTTACTAACACAACGTTTTGCGGTCTTGTTGAAAATTTTATAAATATTCTCTTCATCGCTGAAGTATGTACTCCTCCTTGGCAGGAGAGCGTCCGGACTTGTCCTTCCGGACGCTGTTCTTCTTTAAATCTCGAAGGCGGTTGATCTGCCAGAATGCCTTGCTTGTCATTGGGAAATTTAAATCTCTTTCTCTCATCTCACCGAAGTTTTTCCAGAAATTACTTTTCGCTCTGACGACCGATTTCGTTGTCTATCTGTCTCTGTGCACGATTCTTCGTACTGTATTCGAATTGAAGGCTTTTTGCTTCCGAGCTATCTACTGAACGCGGCCTTACTTTCTTTGACATCCAGTTGAGCCTCTCTTATCAATCAGAACGTTCGTTTCTAACCTCCAGACTGCAGGCCAACCTGTTTTAAACCGCAGCATTCAACGGCAACCCTCAATAAATCGTTCTTAACGAGCTTCAACAGTATCGATCATCAGGGGGATTTGTTCTAACCGTTGCGCGATGTTGTTTGCATGCTTTGCTCTTGCATCCGCCCAAGAAAAAGTTACATATTTCATTCCGTGGTTGCTTCTTCCGCCAGTTCTTTGGGCTGTCCTCCACCATTCGCGATAGTGAATGTCAACAATCCGGTGATGATCGATCGAATGATCCATCGAAGCTACCCCTGTAGAATTATCATTATCATCAGTTATATATAGAGGATTGCGAAGGCATAAAGGAGTCCCGGTGCTGAAACCACATTGGGTACGGGTATTACGTTCCTCTGGTCAATAAAATGATGCGAGATGCATCTATACACTGCAGGGACTGGCATGTCAATGAGTCGCTGCTAGTTCAGGTATCCTCTACGCGTCAAAAACAAGGTTATGTTCTCTTATCTTTTTAAACTCGTCGGTCAAACTGAGTCACGATTTTCCGTAACTGCACTAAAAATGGGAAACGCCGGAGAGTATCGGCGATGGATCATAAATGCCGATGCAACACGACAAACACTGTATGTAAACTTCTGTATCGATTTTAGAGGGTATCTGAAAATCGACCTGACCGAAATAGCGGCAATGCCGAAGTCGACAATCATCAAACTTCGCTATTGGAAGGTAATACGAATACTGAGGAACAAGAAATTCTTCCTCAATTTTTTCTCATTTAGATGACGAATCAACGAATGAAGGTTCGAGCACTAGTTATTACTCGCTGTCGACAGGAACTTCCGAAACGAACACGCTGCATTCCGAAGAAAATGTCTGTGGAGACCGATCGGGTACTGCAACTCAAACGTCGCGATGTGATCAGCTATTGATGTATCCGGAACGCCTTGTGCTCCTGGTGGACGATCAGCGTGGTGATTCACCCGTCTGTGGAACATATGAATTGAAAACGGAGGTTTCGGAAGACGAGCTGGCACTGCGTTTCTTACGCGAATCTGTTTATTACTACTTGACAGACAAGGAGTCGCGAAATCAACTACTCGCCATTATGAACATCTTGAAATTTTCCGATGACCAGCGGTTAGAGATTATGAAAAGTAAACGCTTTCACTGAACCAATATCCTGAACAATAACAGAAGGTTTTACGCAACTTTCTACCCTAGTTCGAGTTTGGTTTCGCCAATACTTCTTATACGCCGTTGTATAACATCATCCAGTAAAATTTAGTTACAAGGAAGTGAGGATAAAAACTCTACGTAGGAACCACTCGCTCAAATTCAAAGTTGAGTTGCCATAGATCAGAGTTATAGATCCTAAAATAGGCAAATTGAAATAGACTATATGTATAGAAAATTGTACATGATTTCTTTAGGCGGGATATAATCCTTAGGTAAGTCACAAGCGGAAAGACAACATATAAAACAGTCTTCTTCTTCTTCATCTTCCATCGCCGCTTCTCCTTTCGGGTCGTGGAGGCAGACGCGTCAGACAGTGCTTCCAAAGTTCCCGATCCTGTGCCAGAGTCTGAGCTTCAGCAGAAGAGAAATGGAGTCTGGAACAGATTT